TCGGAAGAGGAAAAAAAATTGCGGTCGTGAACGTTTGTTACAACATGGCCAATATAAATTAAAATTATTCGATTTTTTCATTTTTCTTCCACTTGGATTATTGATGGTATTCTCTCTACCTAAGGATTATTACCTTTGTGCTGATAAATAAAGTATAAGATAAATATTAGTCAAACAATTTGGAATAATTAAATTTTTTTTTTATACTATATAAAATAGAAAGAAATTTGATTGTCCAGAATCTAATTTTGTTATTTGTTTGTTTGTTTATTCGTTTTTTTTTTTTTTTTTTGATTTTTCTTTTTTTCGACTATCAATAATTCACAACTTTCAAGTTACTTTACGATTATAAATCCTAATTTCTATTGATTAATTTCGATCGTAAAATTTCAGTATTCATTCGCTATGAAAAATATGTAAATTCAATAATAAATTCGGACAATATTGATGATCATTGTTATATTTGAGATTTCAATGAACGATCGGAAACTAAAGTTATTTACTTATACTTTTCACGTACAAAGATATTATTAATCATAATATCTAGTTGAATTTTAAATGCATGAAATATTAATAAAGTATGCCGAGCTTACATCAGTTGCACATTCAGTTTGAAAATTTTTTAAATACTTTTTTCGTAGCACATTATTCTAAATGACACAGCTGAAGTTTGATACAAAGTTTTTCCTCGTGATTAACAATGACAATGTTTAATGCCTCTTGTAATTTTCATTATATCGCTCAATTTATTATCTAGTTCATTTAGTTGTTTGTTAACATAGTCATATATTGTTATGTAACCTTTCATTTATTTGGAGTTTACACGTTGTAATATTGAAAAATATAGCTTTCATTTTGTTTATTTATCCTTTACAGTTTTGCTTAATTTTTAAAAACTTAGGTAGTTTTTATTGTAGATTTTAATGAATTGCAGCAAAATTTCGCACTATTAGCTACGAGTACGAGTACTTGAATATATATTTTCTAAAGCTAGGCATTCGAAAGAGAAAGAAATAAAAGAAAAGTAATTAAAAAAAAGCATACTCGATGATTTACACCTCTCGAATAAAATTAATTCAGAAAAAATCTTAACGATATATGACGTTCAATTTTTTCCTTATTAATCACTGCCGGAAAGTATATTATTCTACAGCCTAGATTCTGTGAAAGTATCATTCACTATTTTAAATGTTAATAATAAATGAAATAATATTGAAAAGATGTTTTAGATTAACTATTTATTCGGTCAAATGTATTGAAGTCTTATAAAATTTATCTAAAATTTTCAATACAAAAGATTAACCAACTATAATCTATATTTAAACTTTTATAATAATTACTAGTACTATTTTGATCGATAATTTACGTCCTAATTTATTGCAATAATTATAAAATTATGTAGCCTCGTAGTACAGGTCAAAGTGAATCTTTACGAAAACTTTATCTAATTATTATCACATTTCATTGATACTATAAAGTCTGTATTGTAATTTTTTCGATAAAAAATGAAAATTTTATTGACTTATACTGTAGTATATACGTTCATATAAGAGCATAAAAAGTCATACCAACAAGTTAAGTCATATAATTATTGGAATAACACAATCAAATGTAGAAAATCTTGAGTCAAAAAGAATTTTCTTAATTTGTACATTGAATTTGGTGACACCTTGCGTTATGCTGTCCTTATTAAGCTTTCGTCATTGAATGCATATACACATGTATACATATTTATATGGGTATATACATGGAGAAACACGACTTCCTCGCTGTCTCTCTCTCTCTCTCTCTCTCTCTCTCTCTCTCTCTCACTCACTCACGACTATATTATCTATCTGTCTATCTATCCTCTGTCTCTACTAACAGTCTAGTCTATATAGAAAATATTTTCCCTTTTTGCACGTAATTCGAACATTGCATTATATAAATAAGTCTGTACAAGTAATGTAAATATCGTTCAGTCTAAAAAACTTGCAAGTTAACCTAACTGAATGCTTCGATCATATACATGCATATGCCCTGTTTTGCTTTAAAGTGTATTATCACGTGATTTTTGCCTTGACTGATACACGCTGTTTTTCAACGTCAAAGGGCTGAAAATGTTACAAAAAAAAAAAAAAAAAAACAAAACAAAACAAAACAAAATAAAAAACTTGAATGCCATTGCACTTGTGCGCTTCGCAGTTTTAAATGCTAAATAGATCCATAACATGCCCTTTTTGACACTACAATTGCCCTCGCCACTTGTCGCTTTCTAGCATTATAAATAATTTTTACATTAGAAAGATTTTATTTCTATTTAATAATTTATTCGTAATTACACAAAATAATTAATGAACTCGCAGAATTTAGTATATTTCAAACTATCGAATTGATTATAGCTTTTAATGAACTCCAAAAATGTTCAAATCAATGAATTTATTTAAAATAATGTCGAAACTTTATTATAAATATTGAAAGTTATTGAGATTTAAAAAGTTAATGAAAAACAGTACAAATATATTAAAAAATCTATCGACTTTACTCTAAGTATAATAAAACAATGTATTTTCTCCTTTTACTAATACGTACATTTTCGTTATTATTCGTTAAAATATCGCTTTTACAAGAAAAACATTTATAAATAATGTCTATTAACAAAATTATTATATCCATTCATGTTCAATATTAAAAAAGTATATTCATAATTGTAAATACCATAGCTTAAATATGGAACGGGACTTTTTTTTTTTTAATTTTTCACTCCAACGCTTGATCGCATTTAATTTGGTACACAAATAACACGTATAAATTCATGTATACAAAATGTAGTCACATATATCAATTTGATTTTTCACTAAATGTCAGCTTTCTTTTAGACAACTATTGTAAATAAATATTACGTAATTTATATTTCTAATTTAGAAATTAAAATATTTAACTAAATAAACCATTTAAACTGAAATAATAATTTAAATAATAATTTCATAATCATAGTATAATCCTTCTTACATATTAATTTAAAATAATCTAGATCATTAAAGAAAAGGATAATTAATCAAAAACTAAATAGCATTTATATTTAATTTATTTATCAACCTAACATTCTTTTTTTCTTCCAATATTAATTAAATTTGATTAAGCATTTTAAAAGTGAATCTATTTATTTAAATATATACACTGTATATCAAATAAATAACATAAGAAAAATATGAGACGCTGTATAAAACATTATACATGTTTTGAAATTATAATTCCCTTACCAAATCTTAAAATCGAAGATATTTCATATTAGCAAGTAAAATTAATATTCTGCGTGGCGCACACATGCTTTCACAGCTTTATTAGTAAAAATTAAACCAGAACTGTAAATAAAGTGAAGATGAAAAAAAAAAAAAAAAAAAAATTGGAAAAACGTGAATTTTTATATTAAAATAATGCACGTGCCACTACCACCATCGTGCATCTTTGTTTTTGTTACAGTACCAACTGTTCTCTAAACGATCATAATTCAATGGAGATGCATGTCGATCAAGAGGCTAAATCATTCAACATGTGAGAGCAGCATCGACGAATAAAGCTCTCGATGCAGTTCAGTCTGAGAAAAATGAAACAAAAATACTTTGTTCGGAGCCCAAAGATGCGAATCCGTGAACCAATTTGTCCCTTTTCGAGTCCTTGCAAAACTCAGTACGCACATCTCTATATAAAGATGATGTCACAATTATCTACTTATTATGGTATAAGCAAACAAATGAGATTACTTCATTATGTCATCGACAATTTGATATAATGACGATCTGCGGTAATTGAAGAAAGACAAATGTATAATAATGTTACGGGCTAGTCGAGGTATTCGTTGCTTAATACTCCTTTTGCAAATTTCGAATATATTTTCGAAAAGTCTTGCGTACGTTGACATTCGAAATTAACACGGCAAAGTAATAGATAAGTTTTACTACAATTATTGGCTTATTTAAATAAAATATTTTACATAAATGCAGCTCTTCATAATTTCAGTCAGAGATCAACTTAAGTAATATACTTGATTGAATAATTTAATTATGAAGTTGCGTACAGCTAATTTGCTAGAGAAAAAAAATTAAATAAGAGAAGAGATAATACAGAAATAAATTTGTATATACGTATATTGAATTAAAAAGTAATTATCAGGCTTAATTGATATATGAATATCCTAATACAAAAAGTGAATTAAAAAAAAAAAAAAAAAACACAAAAGCCTAAATGAGAATAATCTCAATTTTTCGTATTACGTGTAATAAGTATCGTAATGACAATCGATTAAGTTAGTTCCGAATGACTAATTTTGCAATGGCATTTGGATTTAAAAACGAAAATATGACAATGAGAAAGAAGAAAAAATATATGGCAATCGTTAAATTATACACTTTGTCTAATTAGAGATTATTCCTCTAGACTTATTGTCAATGTTATTAATGACAAATATAATGGAAATGCGGATGCACTTACTTTATTTAAGAAAAAAAAAAAAAAAAAGAAGAAGAAAAAAAAAAATCTAAAACATATGGAAGGTCAAATGTGTGAATAATTTAAAAATAATTAACGCCGAAATAAGGAGATTGGGATAAAGTAAAAAGAGAACAAAATTAATGTTTGCATCGGCTATAAATTTCTCTCGTCAATTGCTCAATTCTAATCACTGCATCAACAATCATTAATTTGTAAGAGTAGCTTTTATAAATATTATGCGGCGCGGGCACTTGTCAATATCTTATGTATCAGTGTGAAGAAAAAAGTGCGATTGCGAAAGTCAATCTTTGTCAGTTTTTCCCTGAAATCAAATATATATATATATATACATATACAACTACGTCTAAAAAAAAAGAAAAAATGAGCCTTTAAAAATGTTTAATGGAATTATAAATTTTAACATAAGATTCAAGATATAAACAAACTACACGTCTTCTCTATTTTAATTTTAAGTATTTTATATCCCATAAATTTTTACAAATATCTATTAATTTTATATCTATATTATTCATATATGAATATTGAGTCTATTCTTCAATTAGTTATAATTAATCGAACTGACTAACTGAACTTCAGTTGTTTAGATTATAAATTAAAACTAGAGAGTATTACGATTAAATGGCAAAGTAATACAACTGTTAAAGTAATTATTTAAAACTAATATTAATCAATTAATTATTATTAATTACGTATGAAAAAAAAATTCTTATATTTACAAGATAAAGGTGACTATTAATTATTAATTAAGGCCAATAAGTTTAATTATTATAAAATATTTGCCAATGAAAATAATAATATTTATAAGTATTTCATTTAAAATATATATAGTTTTGTTTAAAAAGTATATATATATATATATATATATATATATATATATATATATATGTATACACACACAAATTAAAAGATAATAATATTTAAAAAATTACATTTTGTCATTTTATCATATTGTCTTAAGTTATAATAAAACAAAAAATGGTTATTATTAAAAATTTAATTTAATCAAATACGTGTAAAATATGAATTAAACATAATAAATTACAATAGACGTTTGATCCTATTATTTAGAGAACTTTAATAGTATTCTCGTAGATAAAAAAAAACTTTATACTTATCTCTATTCTCTCTTTCTGTGATAAAAACGAAGACGAACTTCTATAATAATCTTGCTTTCCTCGCCCCGCCCTAAAGTATTATATTTTAACAAATTTTTGAAAACATAATTTCTCCATTTGATCATCACGATTTCAGAAAAGAATAGAGAATATATTTCAAATCTAATTGCATGTTAATAATTATTATAATGCACATAGTAAAGGATATATTTTAAATTATACAGTATCGAAAGAAAAATTTAAAATAGTCGACAAAAAATAGATTTATCCACAAAATAAAATTGATGAGGCTTTTGTACGATTAAGAATAGAGAAATAATTATTTATCTACTAGATATTTACACACAATGTATCTACCATCAAGTATTCACAAAATAGTTTCTGAATAACTAGAAAATATTATTGAATACTATTCATAATTGAATCATGCCTACCTAGAATTAGACCTTAATAATTAATAATTCGCTGTTTTCAATTAATATTGAATTATATAAATATAGTAATATTATTTATAATCATTTTTGGTCATAGAATTAAGAAATTGAATAAGAAAAATATAAAAGTGAAAATATTAAAGAGTAATTGGGATGATAATTTCCTAATAGTAGTTTTATTATCTACGCAGGCGTAGAATACGTTTACATGTACGTAAAATAGCTATTATAACTTCTACGAATATTATAAAATTTATAAATATCCTTAATACCTACGTATAATATAATAATGGTGATAAACAATTCTAATGATTTCAATTAATATACTAAACAAATTTCCCATAAACGTAAATGTGCCGATTAAAGGTTCATTCTATTATAACTTAAAAATTATAAGTACAACCTATACGAACTAAAAATTTTGGGCAAATTAATATCAATGATTGTTGTATATTGATAATCTTTCTTTTTGATGGTAAATGTAAGAATAAATAATGTAATGCAATAGTAACAAAAAAAAAGAAAGAAATAATCAAAATATTTTTCTCTACTAAGAAAAGTAAGTACGGCCTGAAAGGATTAAATAAATATAACATAAATAAATAGAAATATACAAAATCACAAACTTTATAAATAAACAATAAATATATATATATATATATATATATATATATATATATATATAAGTACCTAACAGAAGCAAATAAATTAATTTATTTATTAAATTAATTACCTGCATCTGAGCAATACCGCAAAAAAAAAAAATACAAAAATGGAAGAGCCTTTCTATAAAATACAGTCTCAAATGTGTTACTTAATCTATAAAATGGACTACACAAACTATTACGTAAATAAATAAGAAATTGTATCTGAATGTATGTACGTGTAAGAAACTTATTCAGACCATAATGTATACAAGAATCACAAAAAGATAATCATCCAGGTAATAATGACATTAAAATTTCTAATTGTAATATAGATTATGATACGTATTACAACTCCAATACTTACATAAAATATTATTGTGAGTACTGCGACGTAAGTACTTACATTATATTTTTTAAATTAATCTAAAAATACCATAACTTGAATTCAATAGATTTTGTTATGAAAGAACTTATCGCTATATGGTCGAAAAAGTAATTTTTAAAAATAATTTTTTAATAGTAAATTACTTTATATTCGTTTTATATTGTATGTTTTGTTAAAAAAAGATTATATAAAAATTATAGCGGGATAATCACGTAAACATTTAACTAAATTACGGGACTAAGCAGTTAAAAAAATTGATTTACGGCATTGTTGAAATATTATTCTAGAAACTCCCTTTGGAAATAATATTATTGAGATTTTATGAAAATTTTGCAATTTTTAAAATAACTTCATTCTTAAACAATATTTTCTTTTACTTTTTTTATCCATTAAAACTTTTTATTCTTAGTTTATTTATAATTTTTTAACGAATTCAATAAATTTGTGCATCTATAGAACATATCACATTATTATGTAGCTCCACAAATTTATACAAGTTTATTTAAAATTGACAAAACGCCAATTTTCAGATAAGAATTATCAAATATTTATAACCTACGAAATGTTAGATAAGAATCATAAAGCATTTATAAACTAGGAATTTTTAGAGAAGAATAATTAAAAATTTATAAACCACGATTTTTCAAGCATGAATTCTTAAAACTTATGTCACGAATTTTTGTGGTTGAGTAATGATTAATAATTTATTTATGTCATAAAAAAGAACTATATATTGGACCAAATTTTGATTAATTTTTCTTGTATTATTTATCTTTTAATTTATATTATTCCATATTATAAATTTAGAAAAAATTCATTACTTTTTAATTAAAAAAGAAAATTAAAAGGGAAATAATACTTTAACATTTCATATACGTATAATTTATCAAAGATACATAATTTATTTTAATGAATCAGATCAATTATTTCTGTCAGGTATTCTGACTTATATCTTATAATATTTCTCTATTTATCGATGCATATAGACGTGCATGTATGTGTATATAAAGCGTAATATATTCCAATTACATATTTCGTTACAATCACATTCTAATGCTTTTTTTTCATAGGAATATAATACCGATTCAAAAATATTTGTATATTTAATAATAACACTTTTTAAGGAAAACGACTGCCTAGTCCCATTAAACAGAATATCAAATATTTCTTAATAATTAATTCATTAATTTATATATATATATATATATATATATATATATATATATATACATTCTATGGTATATTGTGTAGGCTTAATTCAATGCTATTCAATTTAAATGGAAAAACAGCCTTTTTTATTGGAACATAACGAACAGTATTGATTATCTATGTTCCAATTTATGAGATATCTTGATCAAACTTCTGTTCATTATCGTATGTATGCTTATTGATGTACAAATGAACGATGAAGATGTGGGACGAGATTTCTCCTTGGTTATTATTTTTAAACAGAATGAAAAACATAAACAATCTCAATATTACGTGATTAAATATTATACGAGTAACTGACAAAATAAATTATCGATAGGAATAAGAAATAAAATTTATAATAAGCTAAACTCAACTTTATATGATTTTATTTCCAATAAAATCTACAAATGATTTTTTTGACGAAATCTCGGTTCACAATCTTATAAAATGTCACCAT